ACAAAAATATACCAGTCATCCCACTAACAGGACTCAGCATACACAACGCAACAGGAAATAAACCAACGAAAGTAAATAAACAGATCCTATTACCCATCGAGATAGAAAAAAAAAACAGATACATACACCATTCATTGTAATAAATAACTTAAACGAGAAAGGGATATTAGGCAATGATTTTTTGGAAATAAACAAATCAACGATCGACTACGAAAAAAGAAAGTTAACAATGAAGATAGACGACAAAATCTATGACATACCGTTTTTAAGGAAAAACGGGAAACAACCAATGCACCTACGAGCAATATCCACGCAACCAATCATGGAACCTATCGAACAAACACAGCTCAACACACTCCCAGAGTGCATTCAAGAGAAACTAGACAGATTAATACGGCAATATCCTAGAGTATTTCGAGATACACCAGGGGAAATAGACGGTTATGAGTGCAAAATAAGATTGAAAAACGACAAACCAATCAACCAAAGACCATATCCTATTCCAGTTACTAAACGCGAAGCAGTCGAAAAAGAAGTTCAGCGTATGGTAAACATGGGGATAATTAAACAATCGAGATCACCATACTCGGTACCGATAGTACCAGTTTTCAAAAAAAACGGTGAGGTAAGATTATGCTTGGACGCTAGAAAGATCAACGAACAAATCATTCCAGACCGTGAGTGTCCGATGACAATAGAAACAATTTTTTCTAAGTTCGAAAAAATAAAATGCATTAGCACTTTGGATCTTCGAAGTGGATATTGGCAAGTAAAACTAGAAGAAAAAAGTATGGACCCATGTTCATTTCTCATAAACGGAAGAAACTACTCGTTCAAACGTATGCCGTTCGGTCTAAACATCAGCGGGTCGGAATTTCAAAAAAGTATGGACATGGTATTGGGCCCATTACTACAATCCTTTGTAACAATATACGTCGACGACATTCTAATTACGTCAGAAAATGAAGATAGCCACTACGAACACATCAGAATGGTTCTAGAAAGATTTGAGAAATACAATGTCACGATCAACATTGATAAATGTCAATTCTTTCGAAAACAAGTGTCATTCCTAGGACATATCATCTCAACCGAGGGAATAAAAATGGATATGGCCAAAATAAACACAATTCAAAACTTTAAAACACCAAGCAAGAAAAAAGAAATCCAAAGTTACTTAGGATTCTTGAATTTCTATAGAAAATACGTAAAAAATTTCGCACATATAATAGAGCCGTTAATTGAATTAACCAGGAATAATGCAAAGTGGACATGGGAGGAGAAACATCAACAAGCTTTTGAAGAATCAAAAAAGGCATTTTTAAAGGAGGTAATAATAACATTCCCGGACTTCACGAAACCACTATATATCAATACAGATGCATCAAGCGTAGCAATAGGAGGTGAACTATATCAGCAATTGGACAACAACGAAAGAGCAACACTCGGCCATGCAAGTAGGACACTCAAACCGCCCGAAACCAGATATACAACAACTGAAATAGAGGCATTAGCTCTTGTATATTGCTGCAGCAAATTTCGACAATACATACTAGGCCACAAAACAATCATACAGACAGACCACCACGCGTTAATCTTTATGAAGAGTTGTAGGCTGACTAATGGACGTTTAACCAGATGGACATTAGCACTACAAGAATATGATTTGGACATTCGATATATTGCAGGAAAGGATAATATAATAGCAGATACACTTACACGGTACCCCAGGTTCAACGAGGAACGGGATGAAGCCAGAATATCAATCAACAAAATAAGGAAAGCAGAATATAGTCCAGAATTAAAAAAATCCATCGATAATTTGGCAATTCTACAGAAAACAGATAAAAGAATAAATAAAATGATGAGTAAGGAAAATGAGTACATAAAGATAAAAGAAAACATAGTTTTTGTAAAAGACAAGACAGAAAACAATTGGCGTGTGGTCATACCAGAGAAAATCGTACATATGTTAACATCAGAAACCCATGAAATAATGGGACATGCAGGACGATATAAAACATACTATGCACTAAAAGGAATGTGCATATTCAAAAATATGCACAAAATCACGGCGGCAGTAATAAAAAATTGCGACAGTTGTCAAAGAAGCAAACCCATCAACTATCAAGCAAGTGGACCAACAATATCTCAGAAACCGAAAACACCGTTTGAAACAGTTTCAATAGATTTAATGGGACCCCTTCCCATGGGCCGAGGAGGAACTCAATACATCCTAGCAATATTGGACACATTCTCCAAATATATTAGATTATATGCATTAAAAAAAGCATCGGCAAAAGCAATACTAAATAGGATCGAAGTAGACTATATACCAAGAACAGGCAAACCACAGTCAATATTGACGGATAACGGAACACAGTTTACGGGAAAATTATGGCAGAAAAAACTGAACGACATGAATATCAAAATAAAACACTCCACTAAATATCACCCTCAATCGAATCCAGTTGAGAGATATAATCGAGAAATAGGAAGACTTTTGAGGACATACTGCCACAATCAACATACCAAGTGGCCAAATTGTCTAGAGAAAATTGAAGAGTGGATGAACAAAGTACGATCCGAAGTTACGGAAATGACCCCATGGGAGATAATCAAAGGAGAGACACCGAAACAACCACTAGAGGATATGATCAACTTTCCGAGGCCGAAACAATCAAAAAAAGAAGACATAATACAACTTGTAGCATCCAGGATCGAAGAAAAAGCAAGAAAACGAGAATCAAAAAAGAAAAACCAAAGCAATATAATATATGAAAAGGGACAAAGTGTGTTAGTAAGAGACCACCACTTATCGAATACAGATAACAAGGAAATAAAAAAGTTATTCCACATGTACAACGGACCATTCATCATAACCAAAGTCATAAGTAAAAACACGCTAGCCGTGAAGAACATACACTCGGGACGGGAAGAACTCATTAACGTGTCCGAGGTTCATCCATACTATGTTATGGACAAACACAGCAATTTATAAAAAACAACAAGGGGAGCCAATGAAAGAGATGACAACGTTGACGAATCAGAACCAAGAATTTGGTATATCACAAACTATATAAGATCAGTCAACAAGAATCATAGTCATCAGTTCAAGAAATGGCACCCATCAACCCAGAACGAGAACAGGCAAGACGGGCATTATACAAGGCATCAATCCGCAGACGTGTCGCTAACGATTCAACACATTTACCATCGGTTCAGTTACTTCCCCGATGACAAATCTGGGGGGGGGAGCTGTAACGGGATAAACCGTCACTATATTAAAATGGTCCTTTTCAGGACCACCAAACACAACAGTATGGCAACATAATGCGACACAAGAAATAAACGCGACACACTAGAATAAGTAGTTTGCCAACAGGAAAGTTTCACGGAAATAACTAGCAAGAACCACATTAACGAAGCGAACACCAATGGGTCAAGGTGTGGTTATTGCTTATCAAAGCAACCATTCCCGACCAATCACAGGACAACAAAGGGAAACAAATAGTATATATACCGGGACAAGTTCACCGGTCAAATCATCTTCCACACCAGTCTTCAACATATCTTTTACAAGTCAACAAGCACTATAGAAGACCCGAAGACCTGAAGACCAGAAGACCCGAAGACTAACGACGCAGCAGCAACACCGACCTGAACGACGCCGACGAAGCTGATTCGACCTAGCCAGTCCACGACGACGCACCCTGAACGCACCGGTCTAGCGTGATCGCTCGATACCGCCGAGACTCAACAGTACCCGGCATACCTGGCTAACAAGCGCCACTTCACGGACCAGTGACGCCAAGCCTACCGTGTGCATCCAGCGATCAACGACAACGGATAGCCGCCACACCGGGACCTAATTAACCCACCGACGGCAGCGTATAATATAATTATACTCCGACGATCCATTACTGTCAAGTCCACCCGTTCAATCGAGCCCAGTCACGCCGTTGGACAAATACCAAGACACGCCGGGAACCGACTTCGCGACGTAACTTGGCCAATCGACGATTCAGCAAGCCGACACAAGTAATACCACGTTCCCCCCTACGGTGAGCTTATTCGAGTTTCACCGCGAGGAAGAACCGAACCCACACGACTTGCTCGAGTCCGTGCACGGACGGTTCCTACTCTCCCTTATCATTATTGTATTCTTTCTACGAAACATATAGGCAAATCCCGACTACTGTTTTGCTCGCGCCTCTTCAGGCCCGAACCCGCCCGCCGCGCCCGCTTCTTCAAGCCTGCCGCGCGGCCCGGGATAACTTGCCCCGATCATTATAAACATTATTTTAGTGATTATATAATAAACGATACTATAACGATACACAACGCATTGTTATTCACGATCACGGACGTCCCGGAAAGACGCTCCGTATCAATTTGCGCATTACGTAATCCGGTCATTCGCCGTCATCCGGAGCCGCCGCCGACAGCCGCCGCTCCCCGTTCACCTCCGTGTCATCGCCTCGCCGCAGCAGCTGTTCCAGTTGCCGCCGCCGATACACCGCACTACCGCGGCGCCTGTGCCCACCGGTAATCAAATTATTATTATCGTTATTGCCCTATCAGTTATATTGTTTATTATTGTTTTGAGTTACGCTCGGGAAAAGACGTTTTCCCGGCCAACATACGCACATTTGTCGTGCCTCATAATATATTACTTTCTGTTATTTGCGCCGTGTTATAATTATATATATATATTGGTCACCTATCCCGTCCAAAACTGAACACCACTTTCTTTTATTTAAGTAGTTGCCCGGCCAAATGCTAGTGAATAGCCGGCAGCCCAAACATTTGGTAGCAGAGCGTGGTTCATTTATTATTTAATTGTGGTGTTCACGTTTGGATTGGGTTCGTGACAGTTTAGATAGGACCATTGCCCTGTTTTTTTATTGTAGTTGAGCGCTGTTAGTTTGAGTGATTGTCCCGGGGGTTACGTGCGCGCACCTTTTGCCAGAATCCTTGCGACCTCGTAACCAGTCGCCATGGCTGCTGACGATGAATTGGAGCGGAATAAGCGCGCGAAGGGTCGTGCATTGGCTAAACGAGACTCGTACGTCGTTCGCATTAAGGCTATCCACACGACCGCTCTATCGGCCAGTGATGATGCGACCAAGGCGCCGCGGTTGCTCGCGGCATCCGCCAAGCTGGATAATTTGTTGACTGGGTTCGAGATTGAGGACAATGCTGTGTTCGAAGCTTATTGTGCTCTCGATATGTTGGGCGAGTATACGACGGACCTTCTTGTTGAAGTAAACGAGTGGGTTTATGATATCCAGTCTATTGCTGCACGCTATCGTGTTCAACCCGTCGCTGGGGGTGACCCTCACGTGGCACAACCCCGCGTTTTCCGTCGACTACCTGAAATTCCGTTACCGCAATTCGACGGCGATATCCATAAGTGGCCCGCATTCCACGATCAGTTCCTCGCGGTAGTGTCTCAATCTCCGGACATACCCGACATCGAACGGTTTTATCACTTGCGTAGCTGTATTCAGGGAAGTGCCGCCGACGTCATCCGTGGTATATTGGTTTCGGGAGCCACCTTCGCCGTAGCCTGGGCCACATTGGTATCGCGTTACGACAAGCCGCGTTTAGTCGCGGGATCTTTCGTCGACCAATTATTACAAGTACCTGTGGCGTCCGTGGACAGTTTGTCGGACTTGAATAAATTTATGTCGGTGTTCGGTGAAGGTATTTCAGTCCTTACCGCATTACAGGTCCCGGACTTAGGCGATTTCATTTTATTTTCACTGGCGTCACGGTGCCTTTCGTCGTCGTGTCGCACGTTGTTTGAGTCGGAAACGACAGGTGACTTTCCCACGGTAGATGATTTGTTCACCTTTATCAAAAACCGTATTGCTATACTCGAGCGTGTACAGGGCGCTGCCGGTAAACAGGCCGTGCTCGCGCCCCGTCCTAAGGACCGACCGTCTGCGCCGTCGAAATGGTCACGTAAAATGGATCGACCATCACCGACGTCATTAGTCTCAGCTGTGCAAGTACCGGCGCCGTCGCCGCACACAGTGTCGTGTCAATATTGCAACAAGTCACACGCGCTCGATGTGTGCCGTAAATTTAGTTCACTACCCGCGGATGAACGCACGAAATGGGCGCGTGCTCAAAGCATTTGTTTCTCGTGTCTCAGTCCTGGTCATTGGTCACCTAGTTGTAAGGCGCCCGCCAAATGTGCAATTTGTTCACGCCGTCATCATAGTTTGTTGCATCCGACTTTTACGGACGTTGTGCCGTCATCGGAGGCGGAGTCAGCTGTGTAGTAAACCTCAAGGTGACACGTATTCATTGATATTCTAAGTGTTCGCACTTTCGTTACCTTGTTACCTACTAACGAAAATGCTCACGTATTAATAGTATTGGTCAACTCTTTAACGACTCTTTCCTTAATCATGTATCACGTAGCACTATTTATTCCTTATTCAAAAGCACGTAGCCTTAAATATGACATTGAATGTTTATATAAATATAGGTGTTTTATGCAATGTAATTTAGACTTAAGTTATTACTGTAAGTACTCACTACGGACACGCGGACTCCTACGGAGTGTTTATTGTCGTCGTGTCCATGCTTTTAATCAAATAACTAATTTAATTTTTATTATTTTACTAATCAATATTATTATACCATTCTTTAACGAAATTCAAAGTGTTGTATTATATTATTTAAAATAACCTTTTCCTTTCAACCATCGGTCGTAAACAACGGAGCTGCACCGTCGTAAAAGAAACGTTGTTCACAGCAGTGGCAGGGCTGTGCACTACAAATTTGGTGTCAGGTGTGGGGTGCTGTTTCAACCATCAGGTCAAATTCCAACGACTTGAGGCCCACCGACGGACCAGCTGCCGAGTTTTTTTTTCTCGACCAACATCAAACCCAAATTCCAGGTGAACTTGGTCACACGAACAGTTTGTTCCAATCAAGCTATCGTGGCGAATTTCCAGAGGTCTTCCATCACGCCAGCACAAATGTACACGCAACAATTGTAAGTTACTTGAATTATATATTGATTGCATGACGTCAAGTCCGAGTGTAGATTGGAAAATAATTGACTATAACCCAGAAAATTTAAGAATAAAAATGGCAATCGCAGATACAATTAGTCTAGGTAGCGCCGTAAAATCTATCCCAAGCTTCGAGGGGGGTAGTGAATCTGAGCTAAAATCATTCGAACAAAAATGCGAATTTTTATTAGAAAACGTAATAGACGCTAACAAACCTAAAATATTAAAAGGAATTTTATCCGAATTAAAAGGGAAAGCTTTTGAAGCCGTTAGATATAGGGAAATAACTTCATGGGAGGAACTTAAGAGTCATTTTCGAACTATTTTTGGCGCATCACATTCAGCCACATTTCTGCAAAATCAATTAAATTCTATAAGACAGAATAGAAATGAATCTATTGCTAGTTTTTCCGGGAGAATCGAAAAAGCTTACAATGAGCTTACGCATGTCTCAACTATGAATAAAACTGCAGAGGAAGCAGCTATTATTGCTAAAACGATACAAGGACACGCATTAAACGTGTTTATCTCGGGAGTATCATATTCCATTCGAATTATCCTAAAAGCTCGACAGGTAACTCGCCTTGAGGAGGCGGTTTTTATAGCCATCGAAGAGGAAAAATCGTTTTATTCCGAACAACCACCGTCAACAAATAACTATAGGGATACGAGGAAAAAAAATATTAAATGCAATCGTTGTGGAAAAATAGGGCACTACGCGAATGAATGCCGTACGAGCACACATAAAGTACCAAATTATCGTAACCCAACTTATGATCGTGATTTTAAAACTGAGGTTAAACAAGAAAATACCGGGAACATTAAGGTGTGCAAATATTGTAAAAAACCAAACCACGACATAAGCGAATGTAGAAAACGAATTTACAATGAACAAAAAAGGAAACAAGGAAATAGTTCTAATGAAGCGCAAGGGAACCGGTCCGTAGACGAATATAAAAGTAACAATAATATTCGCGTAATCGCAGGGGATTCGGAAATAGTTCCACCCCAACGCAACCATAACTTAGAGAAATTGGAGAGGGGAGAAACATTATGTCCACTAAACGGTCCAACCATTAGCTGCGCCTCCACCCATTTTACCGATAATCAACAAACTTTTCTAATAGATACGGGTGCCAACAAAAATCTTATTAAGATATCAAAGTTACAAGGACAGTTAATAATAAATGAACAGAACAAAGGGGATCTAAAAGGCATAAATTCACTTCCAGTAGAAACCATAGGAACTGTCGATATGATTATTAGCATCGAAGGACGAGAATTTTTAATTCGATTCGATATAATATTCGACGATTTTCCAATAAGCCAGGACGGTTTATTAGGTTATGAATTTTTGGAACGGGGATCAATGCACATAGATTTTGAAAATAAGTTACTAAGGATTCCTTACTCGATCAAAAATGACCAAAGTATTATAATACCACCACGGAGCAACTGTATTGTAACAATAAACGCAGAGGAAGCAGTAGGCCATGAAGTTATTACAATTCAAAAACAAGAAATAAATGAAGACGTGATAATTGCCAATAGCCTCAGTCCCGTGCACGGAAATAAAATCGTAAGTAATATAATTAATATCTCGGAGCAACCGTTCGTGATCGACGAGTTGTCCACCGAAAATTTACAATGGGAACCGTACTCCGATCACGTATATTTCATTAATAGCGATCGTGACGAGCAAACGCAGAACACAAAGCATGTCAAGGGCACAACGAATCGTATTCAATTACTAAATAAAGCTATCAAAACTGATGACCTAAACATCGAGGAACGTGACAGTATTATAGATTTATGCAATAAGTATTCGGATGTGTTTTTTTTAGAAGGTGATTGTCTAAACACAACAGACGTGGTTAAGCATTATATAAACACGCCACGCTGCGTAAAACCTATTAACATTCGACCATACAGACTACCGTGGGCGTATCAAGAGGAAATCGAGAAACAGATCAGTGATATGAAAAAAAGCAACATCATAAAAAATTCAATTTCACCTTTTAATTTTCCACTAGTGGTAGTTAAAAAAAAACCGGGTACCGACGGACAAGAGAAATTACGGGTATGCGTCGATTTCAGGAAGTTAAACGAGGTAACTGAAAACGAAGCATACGGATTACCTAACTTAGTAGAAATACTAGAATCCCTTGGATCGTCTAAATACTTCTCCACGTTGGATTTGGCAAGCGGTTATCATCAAATAAGTATAAACAGTGGGGACACACATAAGACAGCGTTCTCAACCAAATCCGGACACTACGAGTTTCTACGAATGCCGTTTGGATTGAGTTCAGCGCCCGCGACCTTTTCAAGAGCAATGAAATCCGTTTTAACAGGGTTGGAAGAATTATGTACCGCATACCTGGACGACATCGTAGTACATGGATCGAGTTTACGCGACCATCAAAATAAATTAGGAAAAGTTTTCGATCGACTACGGATGCACAAACTACAATTGCAACCAAGTAAATGTGCATTTCTAAGAAAAGAAGTACTATATTTGGGGCATATCATAAATGAAAACGGAGTATCACCGGACCCAAACAAAATAAAATGTATCCAAAATTACCCTAAATTGAAAAATGCGAAAAACATAAAATCCTTTCTAGGATTGTTAAACTACTACAGGAGGTTCGTAAAAAATTTTGCAAAAATAGCCAAACCTTTAACAAACTTATTGAAAAAGGATACACCATTTATATGGGATGACCTATGTGAGAATGCATTCGAGGAACTAAAGAAAGTACTAACAAGCCCACCGTTATTGATTTATCCGAAATGGGAACAAGGACAATTCAACTTAACCACAGATGCCAGTCAGTATGCAATAGGGGCAATACTCTCCCAAGGAGAACCGAACGAAGATAAACCTATTGCATACGCAAGTAGGACTTTAAATAAGGCCGAAAATAATTATAGTGTCATCCAGAAAGAATTGCTGGCAATCGTATGGGCCGTTAAGCATTTCAGACCTTATCTTTATGGGCGAAGGTTCACAATTATAACGGACCATCGACCTTTAACTTACTTGTTCAACCTTAAAGACTGTTCATCTCAATTAATGAGATGGCGACTCCAGTTAGAGGAATATGATTATGAAATAAAATATCGAGCCGGGACATTAAACACAAACGCAGACTGTCTGTCTCGGATACACGTGGTTAAAGATGCAGACACTGGTAGCAATGACTACGAATTATTCATAAAAGCTGAAGAAAAGCCGATTTTTTATTCACAAATACTTGAAATTGAGGGTAGTATTAAAAATGCAGATCCGACTGATAACTTAATATTACCTATACCAGAGAATTTAATTATTACCCAAACAGCCATTAGGGACATTATTGATAGGAATCAAATAGATTTGTCAGAAAGGAACGACATAAATAATAAATTTATTAAATATAATAAAGATGGGAGAAACATAATATTTTTCAAAATTAAGCCAACGCATTTAAGCGAACTAACTCCTGAAAACATATTATCTGCAATTTCCAACATAAAAAAAAACTGTGAGGAAGACGGAATAAAAAATTTTTCAACGACTCGACTGGAAGGACTGACGACATTAAGCGGTTTCCAACGGGTTCGAGCTATGTTTAGATATAAATTCAAAAATTCAGGAATTACTGTAAAAATTTTTAAAGAACAACAATTTTCGGAAACAGAAAAAAAGAAAATTATTTATGAATTTCACGACACACCAATCGGAGGACATTCGGGAGTATCACGTACAATCAAAAGAATGAACTCACAATATCAGTGGAAAAACTTAAAAAAAGATGTAAAAAATTACATACAAAATTGTGAACTATGCCAAAAAAATAAGACGAACAGGACGATGAGACAACCAATGCTAATCACTACTACCGTCACAAAACCTTTTGAACGTATCTGTTTAGATATTGTGGGTCCACTGCCAAAAACTTCATCAGACAACCTGTACATACTTACTATGCAGGACGAATTAACACGTTATGCCATCGCGGTAGCCTTAAGAACTACCGATGCAGAAACAGTAGCTCAGGCGTTTGTCGAATGCTTTATATGCAATTATGGCATCCCGATATCGGTATTAACGGATTGCGGAACGAATTTTTTATCAGATGTTTTTAAGAAAATGTGCAAACTTTTGGGGATAAAAAAATCAAAAACTACCCCATGGCATCCGCAGACTAACGGGTTTTTAGAAAGATCTCACAAAACTTTAAAAACATATCTACGAAACTTTGTAGATAAAG